GCATATACCCAATCTTAATCTTGTAGAATTTTTCTGATTTCCCTCTCTCCCCTTGACATCTTCTCTTATGCAGAGTTATTTAGCTTTCTCCAGTTCTGAACCTCTGACTTGAATATCTAAACCCATCAAGTAGGGTCTTGTATTTAATAGAACTATCCTATTTACAATGATATTATATGTGGTACAGTTGTAAGAAGCTAAGGAAAAAAGCAGTGGCCTTTTTCAACCATACAATTTGCTGGTAAAGCTCCTGGGTATATGACACTGAATAGATAGGAGGGAAGTACAGAATATTAGGTAAAGTTTAAAACTAGAATGATTTTTTTCTTTTTTAATTTTAATTTGTTATATATGACAGCAGAATGTAGAGTGATTTTTTAACCAGACTGGTAACTTGAGTTGCTACCTTGACCTCTGAGCTGAGAAATTGCAATATTCTGCACATCTAATTTAACCAGGAATATATTGATCTTATCAATTTGATATGTAAGTGGAAATTAAGATATATCAATAATGAAATCTTCAATTTGCCATTCCCTGAAGTATAGAAAAGATGAAGTTGGGTTTTAGGTTCTGAGAATTATATACTTCTGAAAGTAATTTTTAGTGGTGACTCATAAACATCAAAATAAAAATTTTTAAAGGGCTGGGGTAGTTGGGCATGGTGGGGCACACTCATAATCCCAGCAGTTTGAGATTAGTTCAAAGCCAGTCTCATCAAAAGCAAGGTGCTAAGCAACTCAGTGAGACCCTGTCTCTAAATAAAATACAAAATAGGGCTGGGGATGTGGCTTAGTGGTCGAGTGCCCCTGAGTTCAATCCCTGATACCCACCGCCAAAAAAAAGAAGGGCTGGGGTATACTTCAGTGGTAGTGCACTTAGCTAGCAAGTGTAAGGCCCAGGATTGGATCCCCAGTACCGAGATTGATTTAGCTCACAGTTCTAGAGTGCCAGTCCAAGATTGGGCAAGCACACTGCTCTGAGCCTCTGGTGTGGGCAGCACACAATGGCAGGAGCATGTGCAGAGCAAACCACTCGCCTCATGAGCTAGGAAGCCGAGGAGAAAGAGAACATGCTAGGGCCTACCATCCCCTTACAGGATACATACCTGAGGTTCTAAAGACCTCCTCCTGGCCCCCACTTCTCAAAGGTTCCATCACCTCCCAGTAGTACCACTCTGGAAACCAAGACTTTAACACATGGATCTTTAGGGGACACTCATCTAAATCATACCCATCACTATAATTTTGCCTAAAAGTGAAGCGACTTAAGTAATTACAAATCTTGAATTTCATCCAGGACTCAGGGCGGAGATCAAAGCAAAGGATTTTGTTAATGGCATCCTAAGCCACAGCCCTGACTCTGGAGCTCCCAACTAACCAGGTCCAGCCACTTGCTCCAACCAACCAAATAAAAAAGGTAATGATGAAAAGCAGGAATATGGCCATATTGGGAAAGCAACGTGAGAACAAGCATCTTAGCCCTGTCTGTGGGAGTGCTGACATGAGCTTTAAGTATAAACAGAGGAAGAAGGCAAGAGGTAGGCATAAGTAAGCAATCTTGGTCAACTGTGGTCTGGCTGATCATTCTCTCAGTTCTGATTGTAGGAGATGGCTCCGAAGAAATACTTAACACTTAAAGGGGCAATTTCCATTTGCTGCTCAGGATGTTTATGCATCAGACCTGTGATCCTGGAAGGGGGCAATTTAGTTCCCATGAGATAAACTCCTGTTTGGGAGTGGGGTGCAGTCTCAATATGGGGTGATACTTGTCTCCCCCTCCTCCTGGAAGGTGTGGGACAAGGACCGGAGACTTCTAGGCACCACTCCAGGGGTTTGAAACAGGATGCTCCCTGTAAATCTGGCCTCAGTCTTGCAGAGGGACAGGACAGGTTAAGTAAATTTAGGGCTAATAAACCTTGCATGATCAGTTATATTTTTTATTTTTTTAAATATTTATTTTTTTAGTTTTAGGTGGACACAATATCTTTGTTTTTTTGTTTTTTTAATGTGGTGCTAAGAATTGAACCCAGTGTCTCACACATGTTAGGGGAGCGCGCCACCACTTGAGCCATATCCCCAGTCCCAGCATTATCAGTTTTTATACGAACATTTTGAATGATTAACATGCCTACATGCAGAGCTGAGCAGGAACTGGACCCAAAGTTTGAGGTAATAAAGAAGACAGATACAAAATGAAGGCAGAGAAGCTAAGCTTTGTCCTGCTTTTAGTTACCCATGGGGCATCTGTAGCAGCCTAACTAAAGAGTTGCTGCTTTTAGCAAAGGTAACCTCTCTAAGTTACAGTCTTTCTTATAGCGAAGTTTGATAAATCAGATATTTTGCTGTGTTCCAAGAAGTTTAAACACACACCCAGACTTTAGCTCATATCTATGCAGTAGAAAGGGAAGGCCAAGTGAAACTACTTGTTGCACTTGGGTCTCCCTCCTGTACTGTAAAGAAGTGATCAAACTGGACCGCAGTTTCATAATAGAGATATTTAGAAATCTTTCCCAGTGGAGTTTTACCAATGTTTATGCAGCAGGCAATATCAGGATTCTTAGGAAGGGCCCAAAGCAGTGTTTGCTGAGTTTAGGCTATGGATGATGAGTGACTTGGGTTGGCTAGGACAGAAGGTTTCTCAGAGGAATGATAACCTTGATCAGCAAAATAGAAGACCACAAGAACCCTGTACTTGCTTCTTCCTCTAGTTCTTTGTCATTGACAGCCTGAATTTCCTATTTCTCATAACTGTCAACTTGGTTGAAAATGACTTGAGTCCTTCTCAAGAAAAAGAATATTGCTGGGTGCCAGAGCACATGCCTAATAATCCCAGAGACTTTGGAGGCTGAGGAAGGAGGATCATAAGCTCAAGCCTTAGCAATTTAGCAAGGCCCTAAAGAACATAGTGAGACCCTGACTCTAAGTAAAATATAAAAAAGGGTTGGGGATGTGGGTACTTAACCACTGGTACATCCCTGGTACTCTCTCTATATAAATAAAAGAATAAATACAAAATAAAATAGAGAGCCTTGGAAGGGTGTCATATAAGTCCTAAGTCTTAAGCTTCATTAGCTTCTCAGTAAATACACCTCAAGTATACCTGAGATGTATTTCTGATCAATCCTTCTGGAAGACAGTGTGGAAAAGAACCAACATTCATTATATTCATTTTTGCTGAATGGATGGCATAACATCAGAGCAGAAAGCTTGAGTCATCAGGGATGGACTTTGAAATAAGAGAATCCACTAGACATAGAAGGAACCTATCCAGAAAACATCCGGGTTATTATGACCATTTTCCCAGCATTCCCAAGCTGATTGCTCAGAAGCTATTTGCACAGAACAATGAAGTGTGGAGATGAGCCAAGATGATTAGGCCAAGCTCTGCTATTTTATAACTTCCTGTAGCAGCAACATACCCCTCTTTAAATATATATATATATATATATATATATATATTTTTTTTTTTTCTATTATATTTGCTAAGGATGGAATATGACACTTATTTTATTTTATTTTCCTGGTACTCGGGATCGAACCCAGGTGTGTGTGTGTGTGTGTGTGTGTGTGTGTGTGTGTTTAAAGAGAGAGAGAGAGAGAATTTTTAATATTTATTTTTTAGTTTTCAGCGGACACAACATCTTTGTTTGTATGTGGTGCTGAGGATCGAACCCGGGCCGCACACATGCCAGGCCAGCGCGCTACCACTTGAGCCACATCCCCAGCCCCACTTCTTTTATTTTTGTTATTTTTATTTTTTTATGAGATGGCCCCAGACTTCTTACAGTGTGGCCAAGGAGCTATGTTTTCCAGCTGCCTGTTTAATTGAACCACAGCTATATCTGATGGGATTTGATTTGAATGGAAAGTTCCTTTTGGCGGCCATGTGGAGAGCTCATATTGGGGACAAGAGTGAAAGCTGGCAGATGAGTTTAGTGTAGATGAGAGATGACAGAGGTTTAGTCTTGGTATTGAGGATTTTTGAGAAGAGGTGGAATCTGGATATGTTTTGAAAGGAGAGCCAACAGAACTGATAATGAGTTGGATGCAGGGTGGGAGCTGGGAAATGGGAGGAAAAAGAGGGCTCAAAGTTGTTTTCTAAGATTTGACCTGAATGACTAAAAGAAATTTCAGAAAAGGTGAAGATAAGGTCAAGTGCAGGTTTGGAAAAAGATAATCAAGAATTCTTTTTTGAGGGAGAAGGCACTGGGAAAAGTTGATCAGTGGATACTAAATTCCAGTCAGAAGCAAGAAATTCTGGTGTGCTGTTATATAGTAGAGTGACTATAGAAAACAAAAATGTACTGTACATTTCAAAAAGCTCAGAGAAAGGATTTTGAAAGTTTTCAACATAAAGAAATAAATGATAATTATTTATGAGACAGAGACATTTAGCCTGATTTAAATATTACATAATGTATACATGTGTTGAAACATCACTTTACTGGTTCCTCATTAATATGTACAATTTTTATGTATCAGTTAAAAATAAATTTTCATTTTAAAAAAATCAAAAGAAATCTCTTTTAAACACAAAATTAACCTGGTCAAGCACCATAGTTTATGAGACACCTATTCTAAACGATGCAAAAAAAAATTTTTATGTACCTTTATTTTTATTTATTTTTATGTAGTGCTGTGGATTGAACCCAGGGCCTTGCATGTGCTAGGCAAGTGCTTTACCCCTGGGCCACAGCCCCAGTCCAACAATGCAAATTTTAAAGTCAGTCATTGAAGTATTCATCCATTGGTTTATGATTACCAATGTAAATAATACATTTGTGCTAATAAATTTTTACCCTGTCCTGTAGAAATCTATAACCTGTCAGTGTGATAGCTAATTTTACATAACCAAATTCCACTTCCTCTGGAGACTTTGAAGGCTTAAAAAACAATAAATATAAAAAGTAAAACTTTGACCACTCTTTTTGTAGGTCAAAGAGTAATATGTAAAAACCAAGTCTCAAGATTAAATTATCAGGAGAGGGCGACGGTTGGGCGCGCGTGCCGCTCGGCCCCGAGCCCCAGCTGTCCCCCTCCCGGCCCCTCCGCGCTTCTCCTCGTCATGGCGGCCCTCAGCAAGTCCATCCCTCATAACTGCTACGAGATCGGCCACACTTGGCACCCTTCCTGCCGGGTCTCCTTCCTGCAGGTCACTTGGGGCGCCCTGGAGGAGTCCCTGAAGATCTATGCCCCCCTGTACTTGATTGCAGCAATTCTCCGGAAACGAAAATTAGACTATTATTTGTACAAACTACTCCCTGAGATCCTACAATCCGCTTCATTTCTGACTGCTAATGGGGCCTTGTATATTACTTTCTTCTGCACTTTAAGGAAGATACTTGGAAAATTCTACTCATGGACTCCTGGCTTTGGTGCCGCTTTACCAGCATCTTATATGGCCATTCTAATTGAAAGAAAAAGCAGGAGAGGGCTGCTCACAATTTATATGGCCAACTTGGCTACAGAAACACTATTTAGAATGGGTGTGGCAAGAGGAGCCATCACAACATTAAGAAATGGAGAAGTCCTTTTGTTCTGCATAACAGCAGCCATGTACATGTTCTTTTTCAGGTGCAAAGATGGTTTGAAAGGATTTACATTTTCTGCACTTGGGTTCATTGTAGGCAAGGAAGAAATTCCCACACATTCTTATTCACCAGGGGCAGCATATGCAAAAGTGGAACAAAAGAGAGAGAAACACGAGGAAAAACCAAGAAGAATGCATATAATTTCTCTAGTTAGGAAACTTGTGAATTTAATATGCAAGCATGGACCAAGGCATAGATGTTGCAAACACTATGAAGATAATTGTATCTCTTATTGCATTAAAGGTTTCATCAGAATGTTTAGCGTGGGATACTTGATCCAGTGCTGCCTGCGAATCCCCTCTGCATTTAGGCATCTGTTTACAAAGCCATCCCGGCTACTTTCTCTCTTCTACAATAAAGAAAACTTCCAGCTTGGAGCTTTTCTTGGTTCTTTTGTTAGTATATACAAGGGTACTAGTTGCTTTCTGCGTTGGATCAGAAACCTGGATGATGAACTACATGCTATTATAGCTGGATTTTTGGCGGGTATATCAATGATGTTTTATAAAAGCACAACAATTTCCATGTATTTAGCTTCCAAACTGGTAGAGACAATGTATTTCAAAGGCATTGAAGCAGGGAAGGTTCCCTATTTTCCTCATGCAGATACTATTATGTATTCCATCTCTACAGCAATTTGTTTCCAGGCAGCTGTCATGGAAGTTCAGACCTTGCGACCGTCTTACTGGAAGTTCCTTTTAAGGCTCACCAAGGGCAGATTTGCTGTCATGAATCGAAAAGCCCTGGATGTTTTTGGTACTGGTGCATCTAAACACTTTCAGGGTTTTGTCCCCAGATTGGATCCAAGATATACAGTTGTAAAACCGGAGTTACCGATAGAGTTTTCATGAAGATGGCTATAATTTATTAATGTGACTATATTTCATCATTATATCCTGAAGAGTTAATTATGTTGAATACAAAGAAGGGGGCCCAGCTCGAACTTCAGTGTTATTTCAATGAGAGAGCTTTTTTGTTTTGTTTTGTTTTTCTTACCAATCAGAAATACAGAAGCTTTTTAGGAAGGTGTTGCTTAATAATTAAGCTTCCTCTGTAGCCAGAATCTGATTCTGGATCACTGTAGTGGTTGACATTGTGATATATTATTGATTAAATTATGTCCATAAACGATATTGAATTATCTATATAGAAATGTAATAACAAGAGTACACTTAAAATTACTTAAAAGAGTCTTTAGTTCATTCCAATATAATTCTTGGTTTAAACTAAGAATATTTCTCATTTTAGGATTTACAAAGGATCACGGGTACGTGGATTTGGTCTGTGATTATTTTTAAGTTTTGAATTGGTATTTGTAGTAGTAGAATGTTATAGATTTGAAGAAATTCTCCATATACAATGCTGCTTTAGTATAGAGCAATGTAATTGGAGAAAAGTGGCCATTCTTACTTCAGGGATGCAAAGATGGGTTTTATACCATTGGGGTAAATGTCGTGGTATCCATGCTCTTTTTTCAACTAGTAACACCATCTCTCTCCATGACCAGTAGGGCTGTTTGGCAGCCCAGTAAACCTACATACTAATGGCAGGTTAGGAACAAATGAAAATTTACACATGTGTTTTAATCTTTTACAATAGCATTACACTTGAATATTTAAAAACAAATATTTAAAAACAAATCTTTTAAACCTCCTATAGATATATTGTGTTTGTTGTCATTTATAGAAGCTGAATTGTTTATAACTCAGTTTGTATGCCATTGTTTTAGAAAGGATCAAAATCCTATGGAACAAAAGAAGTTTTTCGAAGTTTAGCAGTGTTTTACCCTGTCAACTGTTTCACTTAAATAATAGATGTTTTACAACTAAAACAACATAAAATTCCAAATTTAAAAAAAAAAGATTAAATTATCAGCAGACAATTCTAAAAGAGATGTTTGCTAAGTGGGCAAAAGTTTTTTATGTACCTTCTAATTAATTAATTAATTAATGTAATTTTTTTCACATATAAGCCAAAAAAAAAAAAAAAAGAAAGAAAAGAAAAGAAAAAGCACTCAACTTTTCTCAAAAGGAAAAAATCCATGTTCAGTTATGTCATTTAGTTCTTCCCTGGTTACATTCATTCATTCAACAAACATATAATGAATGCTTTCTATGTTCCAGGCACAGTGCTAGATTATGGGAACACAAATATGAACAAGGTATCTTCCCAGTCCCTACAGAGTTTGCATTCTTGTTGGGGAGATAGAAAAGTAAATACACAGGACTTTCAACTCCAGCAATCTGGCAGACTAGATAACCAGGAGAAGTTGTCACTTAGAAATCATGGCCAAAATATAAAGAAATGCAGAATTGAATTTGTGAGATGTCAGGGAAATCTCTAGGGTACAAACTGAAGAGAGAGTTGAAAACCAGAGTGGTCAGCATCTGAGAGCAGAAAATGTAGCTACACTAGAGAAAAACTGTAATTCCAATAATCTGAAATATTATAGGGTATATTTAATGTAGAAGGGTACCAGAAGGGCACAAACACTGGGAGATGAGAATTACTGGGTGCTACCTTGAAGTCTGGGTTTAACAACCCACCTGATAAAGCACTAAAATAACGGAGGTGCTAGCCAGTCAATGGCAAGAGAATATGAATTGGGTAGGGGAGGACAAAGTCATAAATACCAGCATCAACTCTAGAAATGAGGACGGTAGCTTCAACCCTATTTCTTCCTTGCTGTGTCATGGATATATTTTCTCTTTTATTGAAGTATATTTGCATATACTAACATGTATAAAGTCAGATATATTTTAAAAGTAATTATTCTTTTCTTCTCTTTTCTCTTCCTCTAGAATTGTGTGTGCTGTGGATATGTGATGGTTAAACTTGTCATTTTGTCTACAAGTTGCAAAATATGGAGGAGGATCATAACGGAACCAGGGAAAGAATGGATGCCATAACTGGACATGGGTTGTCTCCTTTGGAAGGAATTGAGTGTATCTTTTGTTTGCCTTTGAGATAATTATATTATGTTAAACAGAGGCATTTTAAAAATTGTATATGGTATTTTAAAAAGTGGGAGGATGTTGCTTGGCAACCCATGGTTGGAATGCAGAGGACATCTGTTGTTTTTCTCTATCAGCATTCTATCTCTTTCTTTTAAAGAACACCCCTTCCCCCACTGCACGCTGGCTTGGTGGGGCTGTCAATCATGGTTTAATGCCCTTCCCTTGTCAGAGGATGCCATCCAATCACGACTAGACCAGTTGGAAATGCTGTCTCTGGAAAAAGAATTTAGTGGGAGGCAGGAATATAGAAAACTCTTGAAGCTGATTCATTCTGGGCAGCATTCTGAGAAAATTTTCTTTTCATTTCTGTGACCTACATATCCAGAACTGCCATGATTCCTGTATATATAGATAATTAACTGTTGAGATACACAAATTTTCAGATTGTATTGATTCTATTAATTTTTGCACTTTTTAAAAAAATAAACTTTATGTTCCCCCTCAAGTTAGTCATAATTAGTTTCTGTTGCTTGTAGCCAAAAAATTTTAATTAGTAGTTGATCCCTCAACATTAACTCAATTAGGATGGTCTCATAGCGAAGAGGACCCAAAAGTAAAATGATATTTAGTAATCCAGCTTTTTCTGCATATGCATAAGGAAATTCTCCACAGGCATACCTCCAGAATGTCTGAATTTGAAAAGGTTTCAGGAAAGGTGCCAGCAGTTTCTAACACTGCATTCAGAACTACTACCTAAGGCACATATGGTCTTATGAGTTTTGTACTACAAAAATTCCAGGAAATACCGCTCAAGTAGATTAGGATGTGAATGGTGTCTTTGGTGTTGTGTCACATAGTATCTGTTATTCCCCTCTCAGCCTCCCCTCTCAAAATCAGTCCTTGTGGCTGAATTTGGTTTTTTGTGCCTACTCCTCCTCTTGAATTTTCTCTCAAGTACACAATTGAGCTTTCCTGCAAGCAGTCAGGGATTTACCAACCCATCAGATTAATTTGTATGTGTCTGAATAAAATGGTGAACAGAGAATAAGACTGTTTCTTAGCAAGGTCCTAGGAAATCAGTAGATACACTCAATATCATATGTCAAAGTCCTAACCTCCAATGTAGCTGTACTTGAAGATGAAGCCTGTAAGGAAGTAATTAATGAAGGCAATAAGTGGAAGCCCTAATCTGATGGGATAAGTGTCCATGTAAGAGAAACCAGAGAACCACCCCCTCCATCTCCACATAGGCATGCACTAAGGAAAGAGCATGTGAGAACGCAGAGAGAAGTGGTGGTGTGAGCCAGGATGTGAGCCCTCATCAGAAGCCAAACTGAATGGCACCTTGACGTTAAATTTTCTAGCCTCAGACCTGTGGAAAAATACATTTCCGTTATTTAAGCCACACAGTCTGTGATGTGTGTTCCTTCAGTTCAATCAGACTAAGAGAGATTTGAATAGATATGTGGAGGTGGAAGAAGGGTATTTCACTCATCAGGAGCACTGACTCCCAGACTCTGCCCATCTTGCTACCTAAGGAAGTAAAATATAATCAATCAGGTGATTGTTGTGGGGAGGATTCATGAATGAAAGATATGGGAGGCGATAGAATTAATATCCATATGCATATGCAGAAAACGCTGGATTACTAAATATCATGTATTTATGGTTTTTTTAAACATGTATTTATTTGGTGATGGTTGTGTAATCTTCTAAATATACTCCAAACCCCTGAATTGTACACTTGTGTGAATTTTATAATATGTGAATTATATAAATTTAAAAACAAGAAATGATAACAGATTGATTTCTATACTTACAGACCTCGTACAACCACCTGACTTTGTATTTTCCACCAAAATGTTAAGCAAAAAGGAATTACTAGAGGTTGGAGATGTAGCTCAGTGGTGAAATGCTTACCTAGTACATGCAAGGCTCTGTGATTCAATTCCCAGTATTGACAGAAGAAGGGGATATGAATCTTTGATTGAAAAAAAATCGGGGAGGGGAGGGGGGATAGTAGAGGATAGGAAAGGCAGCAGAACACAACAGACACTAGTATGGCAATATGTAAATCAATGGATGTGTAACTGATGTGATTCTGCAATCTGTATATGGGGTAAAAATGGGAGTTCATAACCCACTTGAATCAAAATGTGAAATATGTATATCAAGAACTATGTAATGTTTTGAACAGCCAACAATAAAAAATTAAAAAAAAAAAAAAGAAAAAAAATCCTATACTGTATACAATACTGATCATAAATGCAATACAAAGTTCTACAAAATGCAAACAATACCTACACACAATATATAAAAATTCAACATCTCATATAATCCTACTGTAGAGGTTAATGAAATGCAAGCAGTTTAACAGGTCAATCTTAACAACCTCAAATGACTGCTAAAATAAAAATTTATTTTTACTTCTGAAATCCAAAACAAGAGTGTTTTAGTTAATAATTCTTTGCATTAAACTTTCCCTGTCCAAATAACTGGGTGGTTTCTGTCTCTTCATTGAACTTTTTTCCTTCTTGAAGGAGACAACTTATTAACCCGGCATTATTTGTTCTAATGCTTAGAGTTGACAGCTGCCACCTGTTCAGATCTCTCTGTTCTTGAGGTGTCAGTCTGCGGCTCCCTCCTTGGTCCTTTCCCATAATCTCCAGCCTTCAACAGTTGTACCTAAAGAGCCTAATTTGCACCTTGATCTTATTTAGATGACGAGATCCTAAACTTTTGAGCTGCTGTCATGTGGAGTGAGACTTTGAGGGACATGGGAGGAGGGTGAATGCATTTTGTACATGGAATGGATGTGAATTGTATTGGCAGAAGGTGGGCTATGAAGATAGTCTTTAAATACGAACAGTATCAATCTCTATTGCAACTGTAGTACATCCTCTTTTTTGCTCCTGATTTTTGGTCCTTTATCATTTCACCAGTATTTGTTTATTTTATTGCTCTTCCCACAGAATGAACTTTTGGCTATGTCAGTCTTTCTCAAATATCAGCCACTTTTTTAAAAAATATTTTTTAGTTATCGATGGACGCAATATCTTTATTTTGTTTATTTATTTTTATGCAGTGTTGAGGATCGAACCCAGTGCCTTACATGTGTGAGGTGGGCACTCTGCCACCAAGATACAGCCCTAGCCCTCAAATAGCAGCCTTTTTAAACACACATATTTGTTTACTGCTCATTTAATTTCTCCTCTTATTTTAACTATCTCATGATTTCTTCTTTATTTGGATCACTTCTGTTCTTTGTGTAACTTCTTGACTTTAAAACTTTGTTCTTTAAATTTCATCTTATTTTCTTTTCTAATAGTCTCACTTAAGACTATACATTTCTCCTAAAGTACATTCTACAAGTTTTGGTCTAGTGCATTTTTAAAATTATTCAGTTCTAAGTACTTCCTCATTTCTAATATCTCCTTATTTAGTTCAGTAGTATATTTAAAAATTTCCAAACATACTGGAATGTTTGTTATTGATATTGTTATTGTTCTCCAGCTACAATACAGACACACATTGTGGAAAACCTACTGATTCTTTGGTATTTATTATTTATTTTGTAACCTAGAACATAGTCAACATTTATAAAAACTCCATGGAAATATTTGATAAAAATACACTTTCTAGGGCTGGGGATGTGGCTCAAGAGGTAGTGCGCTTGCCTGGCATGCGTGCGGCCCGGGTTCGATCCTCAGCACCACATACAAACAAAGATGTTGTGTCTGCCGAAAACTAAAAAAAATAAATAAATATTAAAATTAAAAAAAAAAAAATACACATTCTAGGCTGGGCACAGAGGCACATGCCTATAATCCTAACAGCTTGGGAGACTGAGGCAAGAAGATA